GGGTCTTCGTTGCTGCACGCGGGCTTTCTCTAGTTGCGGTGAGCAGGGGCTGCTCTTCGTTGCAGTGCGTGGGCTTCTCATTGCAGTGGCTTCTTTTGTTGTGGAGCACAGGCTCTAGGCTCATGGGCTTCGGTAGTTGTGGCTCACAGGCTCTAGAGCACAGGCTCAGTAGTTGGGGCGCGTGGGCTTAGTTGCTCCGCGGCATGTGGGATCTTCCCGGACCAGGGCTCAAACCCATGTCCCCTGCATTGGCAGGTGTATTCTTAACCACTGCGTCACCAGGGAAGCCCAGGCAATTTATTTTTACTGCATCTTGTACATTCGTTCTTAAGTTGCCTAAAACATTTAAATGCAAATATAATGAGTATAGCAAAAATAATGAAAGCAAACAGCAGGTAACTTTATAAATAATGGAATGTGAACCGTTTTTGCTCTTATCCAGAGTAAATTGGGTCACAGCTAAAGGAACACTTCTGTAGCTGTAGTCAGCGATGTGCACATTGAGACTGGGTGTTCTGCAGATAACCCATAGTTTAACGTGTAATATCCATGGGATATCTATTTCTACTACAGCCTTGTAAGTGTGCCAAACCTTAAAAGTACCCACAACTACACCTGTGACTGGAACCAATTATCCCTTTTATTCCCCACAAGGACAAACCAATATGTAGGCAGTTTTCTTTTGTGTATCTTTAACTTGTTTCATTTTCAGCATGCATGAGGGCTATTAATATTTTCCCCAAGTAGTAGAGAAAAATATGTAAGGAAAAAAAGATGAAGGTGGGGAAAGGGAGGAGAAACAGCAAGTGAGATGATTTTCTGAAATGTGATAATAGAGTGGCTAGGGTAGAGTAGAGGTCCTGGAGATCAGCTTCCCCGCCCCTCCAAAAATAGCTTTACCTGTTTTTCCTGTTTATGGCTTTATACTTGCATTACCATTACTTGCATTAATGATGGAAGTAAGAGTTGCCTTCATTCTCACCACCGAGAAAATCATGTAGCATTTTGGTATAAATCCTCCCAGAGGGAAAGGCTCCGGCATGCTATGCACACTGTCCCTGTTCTTTTGAATGTCTGATATACTTAACCACTTCTCCACTGAAGAACATTAAGGTGCTTTCCAATTTTTCACTACTGCAATCAGTGTGCATGCACGTTTCCAATTTTAAACTTAGGCTAGACTCTGGGAAGGAATTACTGAGAAATTTTTACTTTTGATATATTCTATCAAACTGATTTCCAGAAAATAAACAGTTGAGCCTCTCACCAACAGAGTATAAGTGTGTCTTTTCAACCTTTACATTTGGGGGTATAATTCTTCCTCCTGGGAATCCTATGGATTAAAAGGATGTATATCGTTAAAATATATTGACATTCGTATTCCTGCTTTTATATCCTCCCTGTTTATCCTAAAGAGTTCCGTGCATTTTAGGGCATTTGCCCCCTTGTTAGGAGTTGCACATTTGGTTTTTAGTAGGTTTTTTTATTTGTTTGCTGCTTATAATTTTTAAGTAAGCAAATCAGATTTCTGCAGTACACCTGTAAAGACATATGTCTGTAATCAGTTACATACAGTAAGTATGGTATGGAAAGATGGAGCATTTGAGCAAATATCAAATCGGGTCGTGGCTCCATGCTTGTAGAGTGGACCCACGCTTGTACCCAAGGCTGCGCTTACAGAACTGCGCAATCTGGTAGTAGTCAATGGCGGTGCTGGGCCCCGAGGTGGAGGTGGAGAGGTGTGCGGGTGTGAGTGGTCTCTGCCCGATCCGGCGGGGTGGGGTGGGGAGTTTTGGATACCTGGGGCAGCCTCTGCAGCCCTGCCTGCCTTGCCTGTAGCTCATGATGGAGCAGTCTAAGAAGTCCTCGCTCATGGTGGCTCGCAGCATCCTCAACAACAAGCTAATCAGCAAGAAGCTGGAGTGCTATCTGAAGGTGAACTGCACGCCCCTGGCATGCTGGCCCCGGCCCCAGCCCCAGCCCCTGGTCCCGGCCCCAGCCCCGCGGGTCCTCCCTTTCTTCAGTATCGCGCCCCTCTCCGCAGGGCGAGAACCCTTTCACCGACAGCCCGGAGGAGGAGAAGGAACAGGAGGAGGCCGAGGGCGGTGCCCTGGATGAGGGGGCGCTGGTCGAAGCGGCAGGGGTCGCGGAGGGTGCAGAGGGCGCGCCGGCGCAGCCCCCAGTGCCCCCGGAGCCGGCCCCCGGGGCCGCGTCCCCACCCCCACCGCCGCCCCCTGAGGAGGACGAAGAGGCGGCCGTGCCCCTACTGGGCGGTGCGCTGGAGCGGCAGATCCGAGGCATCCCGGGCCTGGACGTGGAGGCTGATGACGACGACGAGGAGGGCGGGGGGCGCGCTCCATGACCCGGGCCTGGGGCGGGCGGGGCCCGCGTGGCCGAGGCTGCAAGCCGAGTCTAATAAAGTTCTTCCCATCTTACCTCTTCCTCTTTTGTCTATGTGCGGCGCGGTCCCCGTGGGCGGGTGTCGGCACCTAGCCGCTAGGCTGTGTGTGCCTGCGGGTGGGGCCCGGGAAGGGTGGGTTGCGCCTGCGCACTGGCGGGGAGGAGAAGGGATACGCCTGCGAGCAGCGAGGCACCGCGGTCTGGACCAAACTCCCAGGGTGCTGTGAACCCCGATCCACAACAACCGGAAGGCCAGCTGGGGTGGTAAGGGCGGTCCCGCTGTGAACTCCAGCCAATGGTAGCCCGTGGAAGGGGTGACACATGCGTCTGGTCTACCAGTAGAGGACGGCGGGAAGTGCGTTGAGCGCATGCGTCCTGTGGTGGCTGAGAAAAAGGAGCTGCTGGCGGGCTGAGCTGAAGACATGGAGCAGGGCTACGGAGGTTAGTGTGGGCAACTCAGTGCGGGGTGGGACCGGCAGGTGGTGCCCGGGCGGCAGGGCCACCGCCACGCAGAGGGCTGCGGGCGGGGGACTACACCCGAGCTCGGTTACCGCAGTCCGGCCCTGCGGCGAGGCGGCAGGGGCGCGCGCGCGCAGCTTATTGGATCTCGGCCCCGTCGCTCCCGGGGCGCTGCGTGCGGATTGGCCGACAGGGCCTGAGGAAGTTGGCAGATTTCGGCGTGCCGACGCTGCGGCGGGCTTCGGGGGGCGCCTCAGGCGGTTGGGGCAGTTTCAGTTCCTTAACCCCGGCGGGGTTGGCCGGGCCCTGCGGATCCTCGCCGCTAGCAGGCTTGCTGTCCCTTTTGGAAGACGCCACAAAATGGCGGCGCCGGGGGGCGGAGCTATGGCGCGAGTTTGTGGGGCGCGGGGTCTTCGGCCGGGGGCCGAGGTGGAACCGCTGCCTCCTTCCGGGCCGTCGGGCCTGTCCGGGGACCTGTGGGGCTTGGCTGGGGCCTCCGCGCGGCACACGTGACCTGGGGCGCCGGTCCCGGAAGCCGTATGGGCGGCGCAGGTTTGGACCCCGCCAGGCCCGCGGTGCAGAGCAGCGGGGCCCTAGTGCGGCCTCTGCAGTGGTTAGCCTCACTGGGCGCCTACCGCGGACCTAGCTCGTGCAGATCGGGGACGACACATTTAAGGGTCAGATGCGGGGTATCTTGGTCAAAGCTTGGAAACCCGATGAGCTCTGGGGTCGTGACAGATTGGGGGCTTTCCTTAAGGCAGTCCTTTGTGGTGGCCTGGAAACGCCAGAGGGGCTGTCTGAGAGGGAACGTGCCCTTACTGACTTGGGTTTCAGGGCCTGCGGCAGGACGGCAATCTGCTCTCAGTCTTTGGAATCTGAGCCTCCTGGGAGGCCTTTGCTCTATGCTGGAAGCCGCGTTTGCCCGCAGGGAACAGTTGGAATATGCAGGGTTGGGCTTGACCCGGCGCAGATCCCTATTCAGGTATCTGAGGTTCGAGAAGCGAGCGATCTGATCATGGCTGCCGCCGCGAAGGCGCATGTTTTGAAAGGTGGCAGCATTAGCAGGAGGCCAGCAGCAGGGATTGCAGAGAAGCAGAGAGGTCCTGAGGTGCATGGTGTGCTTGTGGCTCTACCTGGTACTCCTGTCTTTTCTGCAGTGTGACTGGATCTCACTCTTCTTTACCTGCCTCCCTACCAGAGTTTTCAGCTAGTAGTAATCCTGCTTTATGCATGCCCTTAGCTAGGAGAGGTCACACACACACACACACACCCGCCGCCCATCTTCCTACCTACTAAAAACCTTTTCAGACTCGGTTTAGATGCAGCGGCCTCCCTGAATCCTTCTGTAGCTTTTCCATCTAGAGTTATTTTCTAAGATTTTTTGAGGCTTGAGAGTTACTCTTTGGCCATAGGAGGCACCTCGATCTGGGTCCAGGTCCTTGTTCTTCTCAGCTCCATGTTCCTGGGCAAGAGGCTCCTCTGGAGCCTCTGTGTACGACAGAGTAAGTAGTACCTATCTCAGGGGTCATTGTGAGGTTATGTGAATACCACATGCTCCTTAGTTAGACCAGTGCCCCACAGTTGGTCAGGTGCTGTTAGAATCACTACTCTGCCTTTCTGCTGCACAGATGTGGAAAGCTGTGTGACATGGGGAGATCGTAACCTTCAGCAGGGTGACTTCGGATCAAGGCCCCTAATCTCTGAGCCTTAGCTCCCACATCATCTCTGAATGTCATTCTCTGAATGTCACAACTAATGTGTGCTGAGTGCCTGTCATGTGTCGGCATACAGTAGGCACTCAGTGGTTTGGGTTGTCCTGGTAGGAGAGAAAGGATGTATTTGAGAGAGAGGAGGCTTTGTAAAGGTGAAGTCGTTTGACAGGTATGAATGGTTGCCCGTGCCCAGCTCTGTGCCAGGCTCCAGGGACACAGATGAAGCAGGGCTAGACAGATGCTATCACGGGAATGTCTGGAGGGGCAGAGGGAGCCACCACAGAGATGCCTTAGGGCCAGGCTGAAGCCCTGGGACTTCAAGGCCCAGCGGAGCATTGGATGGTTCAGAGTCACACAGAAGCGAGGCCTAGAGAGGCACAGCTGTTGTCTCCAGATTTTTGAAGTTTGTTCTCAGCTGTGGGATACTTATGGCTGCTTGGGGTGGGGGCGGGGGACTGTGTCCTAATGATGAGCTAGCTGGTGGCTGGTTCTGTGTCTTCCTCAGCTGCGGGCTGAGGCTTAGGTCAAGGTCCCTCATCAGGCAATGGACAGAACTGTCCTGGAAGCCCATCCACCTCCTCTTTTTTCTGCTTTGACCTCAGGCAGGTGGAGTGTGATCATGCAAAAACCAGCTGTGGGATGACTTTTAAGGAGACATTGTTGTGGTTGTGCTGCCTTCTTGTAAGGCTGGCACTGAACTCCTTCAAGGAGATTCCTTTATGTTCCTCAGAGCATCTCAGAAGCACTTGTTCTCTGGTATGACACATATGACCCTAACTCACAGATCTTCTGTTCACAGGCTATGGGGCATGGAGTGCTGGACCTACCAACACCCAGGGTAAGTGGGATGGACCTGCTTTTCAGGGAGGCATGGGCTACCCACCCCCCAGCACCAGCATGACATAGCTGGGACCTTTTTTGTAAAGGGCCAGATAGTAAATTTGGGGGGACTTTGCAGGCTACATGGTCTCTGTAGTGCAAAAGCCACCATAGACAGTTTATAAACAAGTAGGTAGGACTGTGTGCCGATAATATTTACTTAAAGACACTGGAATTTGCATATCGTATGATTTTCATGTGTTGTGGAATAGTCTTTTTTTTTTAACAACTTTTGTTGTTTAATTCTAAGTAAATAGCCGAGGGTATAACTAAAGATTTTTATAATTAATAGACTTTATTTTTTAGTAGCTTTAGATTTATAGGATTGAGCAGATAGTACATAGAATTCCATACACTCCCCCTACCTTCACCCCAGTACAGTTCCCTTATATGTTATAATTTATAAGCCAATGTTGATGTATTGTTATTAACTATAGCTTAGAGTTTATATTAACGTTAACTCTGTTAAACAGTTCTATGAGTTTTGACAAATGTGTAAACGATGTGTCTTTTGTCAAAATTCGTATGTTACGAAGTATTCTTTTGATTATGTTTTTTTTTTTCTTTCCTGACCATTTAAAAACATAAAACCCATTCTTAGCTTGCAGGCCCTACAAAAAATGGGCTATGGACTAGATTTGGCCCGTTTGCTGACCCTGCTTGTGAGTCTGTATCATGGTGCTAAGTGTGTTTGAAGTACCAGAACGTGCTTTTTGGTGGGCAAGGTTTTCTTCTTTTTGCCAGCATCTGTTCCAGGGGATGGGATGAGGGTTTGCTTTGTTTTCTGCGCCTGGAGCTTGGCCCTAGCACCACTGGGAGCAGGGTGACTTTTCTGCCCATCACTGAGTTTCCCAGGAGGAGGTCTGTGTTATTCAGGCACATGACAACCCCTTGCTCAGTTGAGTTAGGGACATGATTTTCCACCAGTGCACTCTCCGTGCTGTTGGCAGTGCCTTAGTTCTGGCTCCTGGTGAGAACTGGCACTTTAAAGGGCTCTCTACCTAGGGACCTGGCCTGGGCGGCCTCTTGGCTGGTGGCCCACGCTGCACAAGCTTCCTGGAAAAAGGCTGCTGTGTCCTTTCTGTTGCCCTGATGGAGGAGATCAGGCTTGCTTAGGAGAGAAGCCCTGACTGTGCTCCGCTGAGTGCTCTGTAGGAAACGGGTTTTACAGCTAGTGGGCTGCAGCCTTTCCTGGCCATAATGGGCAGCCAAGGGTGCCTCCTGGAGCACTGACATAGCCACCCTCAACCCTGGCCTGTGCATAGTGGATGAGGCGATAACTGTCCTTCAGCAGCCCGGCTGTGGTGGGGGGAGGGGATGTGTCTCAGATGCCTTTGTTTTGCAAACAAAACTCCTATGTTTTTGTTTCTTCTAAGGTGCATATGGAACTGGTGTGGCCAGTTGGCAAGGTAGGCCCTTCTGGGGGTCCATGGGTGGGTGAGTGGGCCTCCGATCAGCTACCTAGAGAGGCTGGAGTGCAGGGATCTCCAACTCCACTCCTAGATGTGCTCACAGCTGTTGTGAAGGCTCAACAGACTGGGCCTGAGGTGTTGAGGAGGGCTGGGGGGCAGGCCTCCAGGGGAACTTGCTGGATAGGGGGGGTAGGGAGAGTTGTGGTTGTATTCTGGGAGCAGCAGCTCTTTGGTGGGTCCATCAGTAGTCCCAACTGCGGGCTCCTGGGCTCTCGCTTTGGATGAGAAGCAAGTCTTAGGATCTGGTATAGAAAACCCATTGCTCAGAGTTGAGGCCATGCCCCTGCCCTCCTCCTGCTGCCTCTTGGCAGATGACTTGTGCAGTGTTGGGGTAATGCCCGAAGCACTTGGACCCATGACCCTTTTCCTTCTCTGTGGGCAGTGGGTGCTCCTCCCCAGACTTGTCCACCATGGGCTGGCCTTCTGGCTGCTGAGATCTGATTTAGTTTTTCTTCTCTCTGTCAGGTTATGAAAACTACAATTATTATGGTGCCCAGAACACCAGCGTCACCACAGGAGCAACCTACAGCTACGGCCCAGGCTCATGGGAGGCCACCAAGGCCAGTGATGGCCTGGCACCTGGGGGCCCTGCCATGCATATGGCTTCTTATGGCCCAGAGCCGTGCACCGACAATTCCGACTCCCTCATTGCCAAGATCAACCAGCGTTTGGACATGATGTCCAAGGAAGGAGGCAGGGGCGGGAGCAGCGGCAGTGGGGAGGGCATGCAGGACCGGGAGAGGTGATTATAGACCTAAGCCCTTCCCAGGGGATCCCGCATGCCCGGCTTTGTGTAGACGGGAGTGGGCACCTGCTCTTCCAGGGAGGGCTCTTCCCCAGCTCCCTCCTGAGTGTAGGATAGATAAATTGAGCCATTGTTGGGGCCGAGGCGTGTAATAGAACTTGCTGGTTTCTTGAGTGGTGGGGCTTAGGGCATGACTGTTAGCTAAACTATGCCAGACTCCTTATTTCTGTATCAGGTGCCTAGCAGACTCTCCCCATTCCTGTGGCCAGGGCTTCATGCCCCTTTTCAACAGTGTTTGAAAGGGATTTTGGTCTGTTTTATTTTCTGAGCATTTAGGAGGGATGCGTGGTGGTTTGGCTTTGCTGTTCTGAATATAGGGAAGTCAGCTTTGCAGGAGGCATTAAGGTGCCCGGACAGTGTGGTGATGGGTTGTGCTTTCTTTGCAGCTCCTTCCGCTTCCAGTCGTTCGAGTCCTATGATTCCAGGCCTTGCCTACCCGAGCACAATCCTTACCGCCCCAGCTACAGCTACGACTATGACTTTGACCTGGGGCCCGACCGCAATGGTGGCTTTGGTGGTCAGTACAGTGACTGCCGGGACCCAGCCCGTGAGCGGGGCTCCCTTGATGACTTCATGCGGGGCCGAGGCCAGGGCCGCTTCCAGGACCGCAGCAACCCCAGCGCCTTTATGCGCAGCGACCCCTTCATGCCACCTGCAGCCTCTTCTGAGCCTCTTTCTGCTCCATGGACGGAAATGAACTATGTGGGTGGGCGGGGCCTGGGAGGCCCCTCTGCCAGCAGGCCTCCACCTTCCCTCTTCTCCCAGTCCATGGCCCCTGACTTTGGCGTGATGGGCATGCAGGGGGCAGGTGGTTATGACAGCTCTATGCCCTACGGATGTGGCCGGTCACAGACCCGGATGAGAGATCGGGTATGCCCTTGCCAAGTTCTCATCTGCCTTATTTGCTTTTCTTTTTAAATAGCTTTGTCTGTAAGATTCACTCATATTTTAAAATGCACTTCAACTTTTAGTAAAAATGTACAGAATTGTGCATCCTTCACCACCACGTAATTTTAGAGCATTTCTGTCATCCCAGAAAGAAACCTCTGTTATTAGCAGTCATTCCCTCTTCTCTCCCCCAGCCCCTGGCAGCCACTAATGTACTTTCTGTCTCTGTAGATTTGTTTTTTCTGGACGTTTCATATGAATGCAGTCATATAATACTTGGCCTTTTGTGTCTGGGTTCTTTCACTCAGCATAAAATTTTTGTGTTTTGGTTGGGGTGGGGGCATCCAACCATGTTGTATATCTTTGCTTTCTGAAAAGACCTTTTCTGTCCTTGTTCTCTGATCTTACAACCTCTTTGTTCTTCATTTCTCTGGGGTATGTTAACCGTCCGAGTAAGCAACGCATTGGAATATGCTTTTGTCTGTAGCCTAGGCGGAGAGAGTTTGATCGCTGCGGCCCAGATAGCTTGGGCAGGAAACGGAAGCAGTTGCAGATTTACGATGAGCCAGACACCAAACAAGCCCGGGCCGACAGTGAAGGAGATTTTTCTGAAAACGGTATGCCCTGGGGCCAGTAGGCCCAGCTGTGTATGAGTCAGTTGCATGCTTGGTGTTCTGCCTGCTTGTCTGGACAGGGGACACACAGGAACTCAAGGGCCGTGTGTGTCACCTGCACTCTCACAATCCCCACTGTAGTCAGGACAAGCGCAGTCACTCTGGACAGTAAGTTTGGGAGGTGAAAACAGGGAGTGGGCCAGCTGCCGAGGTGCTGACTTTACCTATTCCTTTGTGTTTGGTAGATGATGGAGCTGGTGACTTCCGGTCAGGAGATGAAGAATTCAGGGGTGTAAGTTCGCCTTTACTGATCAATCTCCAGTGTCTCTAGTGTGGGATTTTTTCCTTACTTTAGTGTCTTCCTTACAAAGAGGCAGAAACAGCTGCTGTGGTAGATTCAACTCTACCTCATGAGTAGATTTTTTTTTTTTTTTTT